TCCCTTGTCTTTTCCTGTTTTCATTCTTCGGACCTCGCCCAGCTCTAACGATAGTTTGCGTGTGGGCTCCACTTTGTGGATCTACGAAATTGCACTTGTTATTGATAGTAAGGTGAATAAAGCCAATCCGTTGTAACTACGCCATTTGTTTGTTATGATTGTTGTTCTGGGTTTGATCCGAGTGGTGATGATTGGAAGAAGCGTGGCTACACTTCTATCTGAAACGATTTCCGTAAAATACTCACGAGTTTCTCGACCAATTCCACCTAAGATCCATTGCTACGGCAATACACATTCAACATGATTCTTTCTTCGACTGAAGAGACTTTCGTCGATCTTCACAGTGGTATTGGGTCCATCAATTATCATTTGTGTCTGTTGAAGCTTCCAAGCACACACTTCTCTTAAGTAGTAGTTCCAATCCACGACAGCGTTTTGACCGATTTCAAGGTCATCTTTTAAAAATTTCACCGATGTCCTCTTTTGCGACTAAGAATAAATGAATAAAATGACTTTTCGAAGAGAAAACTTCGAACCAACTAACCAATTATTTGTGCGTAAACATTTATCTTAACGACATCCACTTAAGTAGCATCGCCATCGATCTTTAGCACCCAAGGACAATTTTATCTTGTAGTTATTCTTGCAAAATATTTGAGCTTGTATTATTCCATGTTGTTGTAGGTATTTGGCACTTGAAGCTTCATCAGGAATTTGTTCAGACAAACGTAGAAAATTCATGATGAAAATGTGTACAGAATGTGATGATCTGCCACGTACTATCTACTAGTCAAGACAGTTTATCTTCACACATACATTTTTATTGATTAACAGACGGGTATATATACGCGAGAGCAAAGAACCTACTAGGGAGATCTACATGAACAATATATATAAGATAGAGATAGAAAGGAAAGAAAGGATGCACTTGAATATACTAGAACCATACATACATTCATCCATGCATGGTAGTAGAACGAAAGAAAATATAGATGAAATTACATACATGCTGGCATCACAACAATAATAGAAAGAAAGGAAATATGCACTAGTCATAATACGGGCATGATAGGAATGATAATAAGATGAAAAGATAAAAAATTAAAGGATACGATAATATTAAAAAATAAAAATAAAAATTGCGGGACGATAACAAACAAGTACCGATGTATTTAGAGTCGATGGATTTGTATGTAAACTATTGGAAGCAACACCATCCATCATTGCCTCCTTTACTCGAAATTGGTACGGGTACAATCCCGAGCATAATGGTCAGGAGTACCACATTTATAACAACAATTTGATCGTTGTGAATATTGAGAATATCTTGAAGGTTCATAATGTTGAGTTTTTTTACACACAGTTTGCGTAGTACGTTGATAATTTGGACGTGATTGCGATTGCTCTTGTGAAGGTATATTTTGTGGAATATTTGTGATTTTTGTGAAACAATTGTTTGTTCTAATGATTTTTGAGTAGTGGTAGCATTGATGTTAATTTCATTTTGTTGCATTTCATTATCTGTAGTAGTAAATGATAATGTATCTTCAATTTTTCTGGCGAGCGATAAAAATGCATCAGTTGTCTTTGGATCCTGTAAAGCAACATGTAATTTTAATGATTCTCTTATACCAGCCATTAAATATTTTAATTTCAATGAATCAAGCATGGCTGGATCAACTTTTTTGCACAGTTCTATAATTTTATCATAATATTGTGTAACAGGTTGATTAACTGTTTGTTTGTACCATTTTAATTGTTCGAATGCTAATTCTTGTACTTTTGTTGATCCAAAAGCTTTTATAACAGCTTCAGTAAATGATGACCATGTTTTAATCGATATGGATGCTTGTGTCTACCATCAAGATTCATCATCTTGTAGATGTACTGAAATACATTGTAATTTTTCTTCATCATTCCATTTTGCCATTTTAAAAAGTTGTTCTAATTTGTCTAATCAATCATAAACATCATCTTTTGAACCACGAAAATATGTTGGTTTTTTAATAATTTCATCAACGATCGTTTGCTGTAGATGTGATGATATAGATAAAAAACGTGGAGCAGTAATTGACGGAGCAACCGTCTCTACAGATGTATTATTTTGTTTTGCTGATGATGTAGATGAGTATTGTTGACGAAATAATTTACTAAATAATTCAAAACTGGTGATTAAATCAGTATGTTCTACGTACCACAAATAAGCTTCATCAATTAATAAAAATGGTATAGTTTGAACTTGTTCAAGACGACGAAGTAATTTTTTTTACTTTTGGATCAGTCTCCTGATAAAATATGCTGTTTTTCATATCCGATCTGATAGAAAACAATTATTGAAATGATATTCTTTATTCAGAACAAGTAATACAAAAAATACGTATAAAAGAATGTTCGTTACAAACAAACTCAGAACAATTACAACATTTAGTTGAAGTTTTCTTGTTCATAGAATGTTCACAAAGCGAACATCGTTTTCGTTTTGATTGAGTAGAATTTTCATTTGAATCGGATATATCACTCTTCATCACAGCATAACCGACAATAGATAATGTATCTTGAATATCTTTGTTCAAAAATTTGGAGGTTTTTGAGCGAAAGTCTAGAAGATGCGATACTAAACTGAGTCCTAATTCTTCTATAAATAATCGACGTTGATATCTTTTATCCCGATTCCATTGTGGGCTTTTCACCTTCCATACGATTAGAGCATTTATAGCGGCAATGTCTATCATCCCATAAAAAATACCAAGCGGCCACTGCTTTGTACCTCTTTTTACCGTATATTTATGACACATCTGATCAACAGTGTCGACAGTCCCCTTTGTTTTATTATAATTCATAATAATGATTGGTTTTCCAGTTTTTACATCCATCTGACTATCATAATGTTTCGAAGAAAGCAATACAACAGCTTTATTTAGTTTCGGCATAAATGAAACTAAAGTTAGACCATCTTTAAAATCAAAAAGAGAAGAATCAACTTCGCGATTTTATTTGACTGAAATTCCATAGGGATTTCTGGTTCATTTTTTCGCAGTGTTCCTATAAGAGTGAAATTCTTCTTTTGAAGTTCTTTGGCTAATGAAACACTTGTAAAGAAATTATCAATTGTAACATTTCCGTTTGAACCATATAGTAGCTTAAGCAATTCTAAAACTACATTGGCACCTACATGTTGTTGTCTTTCTTGATCCGATTGTCGTCCAATGTAAAGAAAAGCATTAAATACATAACATGATTCCACATCAACACATAACCAGAATTTTAAACTATATTTATCAGGCTTTTTTTTGGAATAAATTGAAGAAAAGGACGTTTTCCTCTGAAGCCTAATAATTGTTCATCAATGGTAACATATGATCCTGGTGTATAACATATTTTTAAATTATTTTCGAAGTATGACAAGATTTCATGAACTGCTGCAAGTTTATCTATTTTTTTTCTTTCTTCTCTTGTTGTTTTATCATCGAATCGTAGACAGGACATAATTTTTTCAAAACGATTTCTTGACATAGTGGCTTTGAATATTGGAGACTCTAATGGACTTCTTCTCCATAAGCATTTTAAGTTTGTCTTTGATTTTTCTAATAAACCAGCAAGTAATAAAAGGCCCATAAAGGCTTTTAGTTCCATCATTGTTATTTCTTCTGGTTTTTCATTAGAAGCGATGTTCCGAGTATACTCCCTATTGGAACAAATCAAAATTTTCTATATTTTTTTTTCCGACATAAAACAAATAAATGCATGTTCAATGGATGAAATATCATCAGTAATTTCGGTAGGTTCAGCTTTTTCAATCATATCATTTGAAGAATTTGTTTTCGTTGAATGCTGAGGGATTGAAGACCAGGTCATCCCAGAGCTGGAATTATATAAACTTTTCCGCGTGGAATGGTCATCTAATTTAAGGGTTTCTAAATTAATTTCGTCATCATCTTCTGATGTTTGACTTTCGCCATCTTCTATTTCGGAGCCACTCTCTTGGTCAATAAAATAATCGTTATCACTTTCATCTATAATCGAATTGTCCATAATCGTTGTTATAATAATGCGAACACTTGAATACCAATGATATGCGAAAAAAAATTTCAAGTCTAGAAGTCACAAGTAAATGAAGAAGCACTAGATAAACTAGCATTAGCTGAAGCAATAAACTGGTAAGGACAGTTGGATATAAAAAAAATAATCTCCTTCATGGTTTTACAAGCTTTCAATATGATATTTTAATCTCATTAATCAAAAAATATAAAACCAGAAAGAAAAGGCAAGTTATACCTTTGATCTACAATGATGAATCATCTATTATGGTAATTGGATAGCTCGAAATCACTCAGAAAAATGTTTTTAATGGGTTGGAAATATATGTCCACTTCCATTAGTAAATGAGTCATTGGATTATATATTGTAAGTTTTATTTTTTCTCCTTTCTTGTGATATGTTTGTTGTATGCTGAAGACATGGTCTTGTATCAAAGACTTGTAATGATATGGAAACAAATGTATTTCTTTTTCGATTCAACAACATGGATCCATTCGTAATGAATGCCAATTGCTTCTAAAAGCCGAGAAAAAACAAAATATTTCTAGGGTATTTTTCGATTTTTGAGCTGAGGTCAAAAATGACCCCGGCCGGTATTACTAGGATTAATTACTGAATTATTAAACAAATTATTATCAAATAATCAATGAGAATATATTTATATATAGCATTCTTTTTATTTTATCATATTCCTCTCCCTCTCATATCGACATTTGTTATTCATTCTTTTTCACTGTGACTTTAACTCTTTGTTCGTTTAACCAATTCAATCTCGAGACTAAGTTTTAAGTAGTATGTTGTCATCTACTTATTTGCCTGAACATTTATAATTGTTCTGTTTTCTTGAAGGTAATGCGGTACAAATTTTTTGTCGGGTTTTTACTGAAACAACAGGTGCATGCTACATTAACAAATACAGTATCAATGATGGTGTTAAAAGCAACCAATTTACCAAATGTGGTGGCAACATCGATCTGGACACTTGCTATGAATCGTAGATCTCTTAATTTTTATGATGTTCTATAAGTTCTTTTGGGCTTTTTTACATTTTCTCGAACTAGCTGCTACTGTTTGTTCAAATTTTTTAGGAATAAATTGCAAATGCACGGTAAAATTTCACTTTAGTTGTAACAGATTAGGGTGTGGGCCTGTCTGTGACTTTGAATGTGAGTGTGGATGTGTAAGAGAATGATTCTTCTCTTCGTCTACACCGAGATTCAGATTCATCCAACCCATCCCCACCCATCCCCACCCATCCCTACCCATCCCCACACTTACACCCACATCCACACCTACCACCTACACTAGGGATGTACGAGATCCAACTTCAGTCACATCCTGTCAGATCTAAGAATTGGATTTGATTGGAATTGGATTTGGTACATGTCTAACCCACACTCACCATACCACACCATACCCTCAAATATGGTTAAAATTTAATTTTTCTGATTTAATATATAACCTTATTTTGTCTTTCGAATCTTGTTATTTTCAAAGGGTGATAAGGATGACGTCGATGTTGACAATAGAAAGATTCTTATTCATGTCTCACAACTACATTTGCGTCAACATTCACATACTTATCAGGTGGTCTGAGTATCATATTTATTTTGCCAATAAAAAAATACAGAAAAGAATTTTGTATAGATGCTTTGTAATCAGCAACAAAAACCAATTCTATCCCCTTAGATACACATGGTCACTCCCATAGTTTATAAAATCGGCAAACATTGAGTGATATTCTATGACAAGTTGAAAGCATAAAAAAAGAAAATGACGAAACAACTAAACGTATCAATGATAGAACCATTGTCAATAGATTTCAATATAATATCACTCAATCAATGGTAAATAATTGCTTTAAATTTGATGTTACTGAAAAACAAGTGGAAGAATGTGGTAATACAATAATAAATTCATGAAAGTCATCAATGCAAATGATGCTCATTCCTGCTATATATTCAACGATAAAATAAACTATTCCTGTTCAAGCTATTCAGATTTAGTTCGATTGAATAATGAAATGTATATCGTTGTAGAAAAATATGACCTATTTGGCGACAGTGAAAAAGTGCGTCAAGAAACGCTAAAATTCCTGGAAAATTTCCGATTGATTCAAACAAACTTGAAGCTAATTGAGAAGAGTCTTATGCATGAAATTAGTAAATTAGAAGAATTGAAAAACAAGATAAATGACATCAATAGTCAATTTGAAAATATGAAGCAGAATCATAATTTATCGTTCAGCATAGAAAATCAAGTTGAGAAAGGTCAGTTAAAATGCTACCAGTGTAGCGCATTACTGACAACAATGATGTATTACAAAAAACAATGTCGAACCAAATCGTGTTAATGATTATTGCAGGGATGGATATTCTGCATTATATTTATCATATAGCCAAATTGCGAGCAATAGGAATTGGACTTTTGTCGGCCAATACTGAAATGATGCAGCATCAATGTAGATTACTTTCATTAGTCATTCTCTCGGTTGGAATTGATATAGTGTAGATTTTCTATTTTCAACGACAATATCAAATAATGTCTTGCAAATTTGCTGAAGCAGTCATTGCGTAACTGAAAACTTTTTTTCCTCGAAAATTTTGTTTTCATTCAACTTGCTCTCGTCTGAGTGTCTCTGTGTTGGATTGTATTTTTATTTTTACACATTTTGTCCGTATTCAGCAAGTCGCAATTGACATAATGCCCGATAAAATTAAGATTCTAAACTGTAAAGTGCAAAGACGCTATGAAACAATGTGCAAACAACATACTTTTTAACTTACACACCTAGTGCGAGCAAGGAATGCTTAAAGAAAATCTATTATCGCATCATCATTGAAAAAAGATCCAAGAAATAAGGTATTGTAAGCGAAATAAGTTGTTGGAAATGAAACAAGGTGTTATTAAAGAAAAAATTTGCTGTGAACGAAAAATCCGTTTTGCTTCACATCTTCAGCTACCTGATTTGTCGCCATTTTCATGAGACTGTATGTGCGCGAAGGTATGGATATGCACGTTGTTCTTGTTTTCACTCACATTCAGACGACTTGATCCAAACCTAAAGTCCGTATTCTACTTCTACGTGACTCTAGTGTTTAGGATTGTAATTTAGATGATAGATTTCTCCCAATGATCTACACTTCTCATATTGAAAAACATCAAATTGAGCTGAGTAATATTTATTCGATCGCTACGAGCCGATTTTGTGCTTGAGTGGACTGAAGATCGATGAAATCGATAGGATATACGTATATGTAGCTATGTCTTTTGTCAAATAAGAACAATGAGTGGAATAGTTAAAGAAACAGCCACGATCGTGTAAAAGAAGAGTGTGGATGTGGGTGAGTGGTGTAGGCAGGTATGGGTGTGGGCGGGGCTGGTGATGTGGATATCGGTCTGGGGGATTCTCTTCCTTCGTAGTTCAGGTTCGAGAAACCATGGAATGATTCTCTTTGAATAGATAAGTCAAAAATGTACAATCGTTCTATTCGATCAGTCAAAGCATTACAAACGGAAAAAAGTGGTGATCCTGCAGCACTCGTCCAAACAGCGATATCCCATTTGGAAGATAATCATGTGAAGATATTTTTCATTTAAAGAAATTGTCGGCAATGTCAAAACGAATATCACACGTCACAGTAATAAGGGAAGATTAATCTTATGATGGTGCAAGAAATGGATACAAATATTTCAACCACGTTTTTTCTTGTTTTCATTTTACTAAAAGAAATTCAATAGAAATACAAATTTACATTGCCATTTCCAAAGGAGGCTCATATGTTTAAAAAAGCGGAAGAAACATGTAGAAACAACTTTAGTACAAACAACCGCTCAAACTAGATTCGACATATCTTGATCTTGTCGCCACCTATGGATGTTTTTTCCTTACTTATCTAGCTGAAATGAGACTAGCGAATAATGCGCTTGAAATCTTCAAATATTTAGTGACAGAAAACCTACTACTATATCTGTATCGAGCATAAGTTCAATGCGGATATATGTCAGTGCTGAATTTTCTTTGATTAGATTTCAATTGAATCAAATAAATTTTTCGATCATTTGCCTAAAAGAATCGTAGAAAATAAAGGAAATATGCATTTAATATTGAGCTTCGCAGCAAACAAGCAATAGTGACTGTCATTATTCTTCCTAACTAGTATGACTGAATCAAATGAAAAGATTGTTGACTATACAATTTTAATTAGTATATCGCAGTCTGCCCCACCACCATTGACTACAAGCGATTCTGGAATACGATCTTTTATACCATCATCAAGTGTGATGATTAATACAAGGACCAACATAACTTTGCAAAGACATTCTCTTAATTCACAATAGACGTCGAAGAAGCTTGAATATATTCGATGAGTCAATGCCCAGTCAATCAAATTCAACAATGATCGAACGAATGTATTTTGTGTTAGGATAATTTTCCAATATTGACATTTATTATCATGTGCAACAAAAAGAACAAAAATGTTAGACAAATCGTCTATTGTGCCCATGTTGGTGTAGCTCGACCTAAATAGGCATCTGGATCAACTCCATCGCCTTTGAGTCCATTGCGACCTCGTTTAAAGCTTGCAATCTGATTCTTTGCACCTGTCGATGCTTGAACATCTCCAATAGCAATTGCATGAATATGTTTGTTATTCTGGAAACTATCTGCTACACGACCACGTGACCAAGCAGCAAATCCTGCTTTTCGTAAAGCTACTACCATTGTATCAACTGTTTTTTTATCATTATTCACAACAGACGTTCGAATATCTATGGCACCACCACCATCATGCGTACCGGCACTAGCAGCTACACTGGATGAATACGAACCTTGACTAAATGAAAATTGAAAACCTGATTTTCCCATTTGTGCCATGTAGACTTCAGCACGTTGGATCATCTCAATTGTACGTTGATTGAGTGTGACACCACGCCATGTCTTGCGTGTATAATCGGCAGCAGGTGCTTTTTTCTCGAACCCATCTGAAGCTGCTGTATTACAATTGATATACTCCGCTGATGCCCATCGATTTGTACCCACACGACAAAAACCGTTCTGTTTTTCCAGACACGAAACTGTTGTACCTTGCAAAAGACTACCGACGACGGATGCAGTAGCCGATGGTGCACTGCGTATATTTAAACTTGGATTCGCTTTTACAATACAACTATATGCTGGTGCGAACAGGACAATGTTCACAAACAGTACGACAAATGGTAGACGCATTGTTACTGTGATTCTTTTTTTTTTATCAATCATACCCCTTCACATCTTAACACTGATATTTATAGTGAGCAAGTGAGAGTGAAATTATCAACAGACTATCTTCGATCGAAAAGAATAGAAGTGGGTGTATTTTCGATAAGTGCTACTTGAAAGCACTTAATCTCTTTGATATCAAATTTTGACAGAAAAATGTTTTTTTTTTGCTTTTATTTGGTATATACTGTTGTATGCGAAATTATTTTGATTACGATGAAGTAAATTGATATTACAAGCGCTCCTTGCAGTAAATATTTTTGTGATTGTTTTTTGCAGCTTTTTAGACGGATTCTGATTTATTGTACCGTAGTACAGCTGATCGAAAATAGCAATGTCTTTAGCTCATGTGAAATAGAAACTTTCATTATAAAAGCCCAATAAATTTTTCATTGCTTTCTTTTTTGTGAATAACTTTAGTGCCGATTGGCAAAACTTATGGAAAAATTTCAATACTTTATCGGGCTAATAGCATTTAAAGATATTTTGTTTATGCTCGTAGTTATCAAGTGTATTTCACTTCGTTGGAAAACAACCAGTAGAATGGTGAGTATCACATTCCTGTTGTTTTCCAGAGATAATTCCTACTTCGACAATTTCGAATGAATGAATCGAAATGAAACATTGCTTTTGTCTTACTAGAAAGCTTGATAAATTCAAGCATAGCGACCGAAGCATATCACTGACTTGAAATACGATGAGCTTTATTTATAAAAACAGTTATTTTATTTTAAATTTTGAGTTGGAATCAGTTTATGATTCTGAATAAGACGAGTGTGATGCGATATACTAATGTACACTGTTTTACTTGATAATTTTCTTTCATAGTATTGGTCAAAACGATCAATCTTGTTTTTCCATGTTTGGTTCTGTGTTTCTCTGTAGTCAAGAAATCAGACTGTTATGTGTAATTGCATTGATATCTACTATTGATGTATTGTATGTACTGTTCAAGAGTGGATGTTAATCTTCTCTGCACCGATCGACACTCACGCCCAGTTCCACTCTCAGAGCTAAACCGATGCAATCATTCGCACATATTTTCAATAGAGTTAACAGAAAAGAAAAAAAACCAAGCAAAGTCATGGTAATGCACAGCAGTAAAAATGTATTGATGTCAATCCGGATTAGATGATTACTTATCTGACTTGATCTGAGCAATATTGAGGAACACAATGTCTCTCCATAATCAATGATAAGATTCTTAGCATGGCATCTGAGAAAGACGTTTAGTTGAACGTGTTTTCATGAAAAACGTCAAAACAACGAGACGAACTTTAATCTTTATCAAAAGTAGTTTTCGATGATGATCGTTATCTTTTGTTTTTTCTCTTCCTCTTGTCACTTCAGGGAAAGGTTAAAAGTTAAATAGAAAAGACTTTTATCAACATGCTCCTATTTATAATCACTTATAAGTAAAGCGAGAATACAAATAAATGCTTTCGTTGCTGCATTCCGTAAGTATCAAACGACGAAATAAAGATAGAATATGTTCCAACAATTTTTTGTAAACAAACTCGTGCAAATTGTGATAATATGTATATGATCGTTCTTTATAAATGAAGAAAAAAATGAAAAAACAAGTAAAGATTTCATAGAATCGACACTTTACAATACTCCATTCTTTTGCGGAAAGCAATTTTCGATAAGATGTATCTTGCGGAAAAATACTGTTCTTTTTTTGTTGAGGATTCGGACAATATTTGAAATTTATTAAAAAATAGAATATCACTCACGAAAAAATTTGTGCAAACTAGTGTTACGATGCCAAATGTTAGAAAGAAGCACTATTTTACGTTAAAACACATTGCTTCTGATTACAACACATGTTTTCAACTTGAAATGCCATCTGAAAACAATGAAGTTTTTACAAACGGATTAGAACGTAGTATTTATAATACGTGTTTTTTTCGGGAAAAATGAGTTATTTTACAAATAACTTAAATAAATATTTGGATTCGTATTTTGAGTAAAAATGCTTTTTATATGAAATAAAATTCCTAACATATAGATAAATATTTCGTAATATCACACTTAAGCATATATTGTTCAGATAGGATTGATCTCGAGGTGAAAATATGACTAAAGCACAGAAGAATGTATTTGAATATTAAGAAAAAAAGAAATTGTTATCTAACAAACACGACAAGCGCAAAGGAACAGAACTAGTTTATCTTGATTTGAAAAATCTCTTTAGCAAGTTAGAAAAGTTATAGACGACACGACACAACGGCAAAAATTGTGTTAAATTTTTTCCGTACAAAGGCTAGGCATACAGTGCTGTTCAAAATTTTTAACAGAATTTCTGATCTTCCACAGATAGAGTACTGCAGTCATTTATTATATTTTCAATTCATTCAAAGAGATTATTGTTCACGAGAAAAAAATAGTACAGCATGTTTGTTCATCGCCGTCGCAATATTTTATTCAAATTTTAGCTTCAATATTTTTATAACCTATTCATTCGACGAACAATGCATCTTAACATACATAGATTTTCCTTTTCTTCAAACACAATTTACGAGTAATACCGATAAGAATCATCTTTCATTTTTATTGTCTCCTTCTTTTGTTTCTTAATACCTTTGACTATGTTCTATTCCTTCCACGATGAAATTGATGTATTGTAAAAATATTCATCTATTACTCTTATCTTTTTATGTTTCTTATCTTTTATTGACAAATTTATAGTGTTATTATGACATTAAATTGAAAAAAACCAGCCTTTGCCAGCATTTTCATTGAATAAATATTTTTGCACAAATCTTTCATCTTTCTACTTATAAATTAAAAGTTTTCTTCGAGTAAATTTCAGTCATCATATATATCATAGTTAATATTACAAAAGTCGAAATATTGTTAACACACTCAATTGATCCTTTACCGTCTAACAAAAGGTTATTCATAAATCAAGAGAAAGATCATTTGTGTGTAGACTATAGTATTTCGACTTTTGTAGTACTGACTACGATATATCTTTTCCGGAGTCTTTAGAATTTTCAGCAAAGTAATTACACAGAAACATACAATAGAATGGTATAAATATGATAAAATAATTACTGTGAATATACAAATAGAAAAAGCCTTTTGTAGAGAAAAAAAAATGTGTTTTTATTGAAAAAAGACGCGTTCCAACACGTTCGATTAAATGGTGTAAAGTCGAGCGAAAAATTTCAAGTTAACAAAAAAAATCTCATTCAAACGCAGATTTTTGCAAACTTTTTGTGATGGAATATTTATTTTCATCTCAACTAAAAAAAAACCAACCAATACATTGAACTAATATTTATTCCGACGATTCAGATATTGACAACAACAGAATAATACATTCATCAATATGCATTCATTGTCGGAAGTAATAACTGCCTTAGTCAACAAAGATCAAGAGTGATTATCAGAGAATTTCGAACAGAGTAAAATATTATTTCATTTAGATGTTAAAAATCGTCGATTGATAGAATTACTTCATACGAATAACTTCTTAACCAACATTTCGTCATTCTTTCTCTTGCTATATATTATTTCATATTTTTATGACAGCACGTGATTCAATTACACGTATATGAGTCATAGCTGCACAATCACTACCTTATATTTCGGCGAGCGCTTATATAACAGACTTGTTAGACACACAACACAAATTTATTATAAATCAGTCTTAAA